AGATGAAGTTTCTTTGGCCTGTTCAGATGAAGTTTCTTTGGCCTGTTTAGATGAAGTTTCTTTGGCCTGTTCAGATGAAGTTTCTTTGGCCTGTTTAGATGAAGTTTCTTTGGCCTGTTCAGATGAAGTTTCTTTGGCCTGTTTGTTTCATTGAACTTATCATAGTTTTATGCTCCAGTTAATTTGCATCTGTTTTTTTTGTTTTGTTTTGTGATAAGTAAACATTTGTTAACAACAAGCTATTGTTGTATGTCTCTGTTATAATGTTATTTTTCTTTATATTATAACAGTTGACTAATCCTGTTATAATGTTGTTTTTTTTCTACTATACAGTTGTATGTCCCTATTGAAATGGTTTTCTTTCTATCATTACAGTTGTATGTCCCTGTTATAATGTTGTTTTTCTTTCTATTATTACAGTTGTTTGTTCCATTTTTTAATAATGATTATATCACTATTTTTGCCAAATCTCTCATATAATTATTTTAAAAGAGTGAGTTTATGCAGTTGTTATGCCTACTGCCCTAAATTTTGAGGGGGAATATATTGTTTATATTTCCTATATATTATTTTGCAGGTTGTTTTTGTGTGTGTGTGTCTTTTCTCTTAAATTAAATAGAAAAATATTATTTTTCTTGATTAAAAGAAAAATAGGGATGAATTAATGTTTTTTCAAATGTACCGTGGTCGGCTATAATTGATTTAACGGGATAAAGCTGTATTGAAATATGTGAGTAAATTTGTATGAGACCGCAAACCATTATATGTTGCTGTATAAATATTATAATTATCTTATATTATGGCTAATGACAAGTCATTAACCAATTCCACCATTCTAGCTGCTTCAGTAAATACACATTTCATTGTCATAAAAATAGACAGCTAAAGTAAGAATAAATGCAATATGTCAATATTCAATCCATCGGCCTAGTCTGTACAGTGCCTCTTAGTGAGTACACTACCTCCTGGCTTTGTTTTACTCTCGAATTTAGTTGAGAGATATATATTTTTTTTAATAGCTGATGATACATAAGGATTATTTCTTTAATCATGAAACTTCTGGTTGACTGCTCAGCTCCACTCCTTTCATAAATTCAAGACCAGAGCTTGTTTTGGCAGTTTATTCTTGCATATAATGGTGTTAAATCATGTGTGAATCTCTTACAAAGGTTGCCATATTTGAAGAAAGTGTTTGCCAAAATAATTTGAATTATTTCTCTACAAATGTGTTATTTCTCTTTAGGCCATGAAGAGGTCCATAGAATAAAACAAATGACCCAACAGAAGATTTAGACTTCAAATTGCTGCTAGTGATGCAGACTTCAAACTGCTCTTAGGGACGTAGACTTCAAATTACCTCTAGTGACGTAAACTTCAAATAACCCCAAGTGACATGGACTTCAAATGGCTCCTCATGACATAGACTTCAAATGGCTCCTAGTGAAGTAGACTTCAAATTACCTCTAATGACGTAGACTTCAAATTTCTCCAAGTGAAGTAGACTTCAAATTGCTCCTAGTGAAGTAGACTTCAAATTACCCCTAGTGACATAGACTTCAAATTGCTCCTAGTGATAATGACAGTGGAAGAATTTTTTTATATTTTTTTTAAAGGAAATTTATTTTAATGACCATGTGTTGCGGCAATCATTACTATTACAAATTATTTTTATTTAATCTTTCAAAAGAGTATAATTCAATTTTTATCATAAAATATTCCAGTTGTGATCATTGATTTTTTTTAGGCGTTCTCCTATTGTTTATATTTAATGGTTTGATAAGCTTGGTGATGATATATTTGTTTTATGTACTGTCAGTAACCTTTTTTGGACCACCCTGGGGGACACACCAATGGGTATGATTTTTTTTTTATTACCCTGGAGCATGAACCGAATGGGGATGAGATTCCAATGAGGGAGTAGTCCTCATTGCCTACATCACTGCTAATAACAAACCCATCTTGATGGGCTACTGATGACATGGACTTCACATGGGTTCAGTTTTAAGCTTGGCTGTTGTAATTACATTCAAGAAATAAAATATTCAATGAAACAATTTTTTTTTAAAACATGGTTAACTATAAATATAATGAATTGTTTATTTTGTTAGTTGAGATAAATATGTAAAAAAAAATATGCCTTAACATGGGTGTTATTTCTATTTTCTTAATTTAAAAATATTTCTTCAAAAAAAAATATTATTTTTTTTATAAATTACCAAATATAAAATTAATCTCCAGCCATATGACTGTGAGGAAGGCTGTAATAAAAGAAATTACTTCTGATAAGAGATTTCTTACAACAGTGCTTGACTCAAAATTCGATCAATGAGTGTGTTTACTGATGTCAGGGGTCTTTCACTAACTGATTATGATGGCTGTCAGTTCCTTGTATCCCATTTATCCATTAGGATCATTTCATAATTTCTGCAATTTTTTATCAGATGAAATAGTTTACTTATGAGCATATGCATTTCATTTTTTGCTTGTACCAGCAAATTATTTATTAGCTTAAAATAAAAGGAAAAACATCTTGCAATATTTTATTTATTGTTTTTTTTTTCAGTTGTATGTACATTATCAAATTTAATATATATAAAGAAAGGAGCGAAACAAATTACACAAATATGCACATTTTTGTTTTTGTATTCAGTGTTGTACTGTGTAACCATAGCAACTACATTCCATTCTTTAATCGGACTTCACTTTGATCATCCAAACAGTCTTATCATTCCAGCCTGGCAGGAACTTTCAATATATATTATGGACTCTTGTATTACGGATCAAATGAACTTTCATGTCACAAGCACCGTTGTTGAATTCAGGCATTGAACATGTTTTTGAGAGAATTTCTTTTCTTGTTGATACATTGTGTGCAGTTTGCTCTATTTAAAAAAAAATCAGTAATCTAGAATTAAATGATTCTTCAAATTATTCTCTTAATTGTGTTTTTAGTTTCTTAAAATGGCTTTTGTTCCTCAAAGCCCAGTTTGTTATTTCTTTAGGTTTTAATGTTGATGTGTAGGAAGGTTTACTGCCAATTGTTGTTATATAATCAACCATTTTTTTTTTCTCCTTCTGATTATCAAGTTCAGGATGTTGATTTAAAAACATTTAAAATAATGACTGTAACAGTCTGAAAATAAAAGAGTATATGTATGAGTTTGGGGTGAGACATTGAATCTTAATATGGGCAATATGCACTGGCCGATTGGGGGGGGAGGGGGGGGGGGGGGGGGGGGGGGGGGGGGTGGGGTATCTTTCTTGTCAAATCAAAACCAATATATTTACAAAAAATCTGATCAGTCAAATTCTATGTTGATGGCAAACATTTTCTGCAAGTGATCCGAGGGCTTGACCCAATGATGTATTTTTCATTGTGATAATGTTGGCTACATCTTTCCAGTTTAATTTGGGCAGGGCAATGAGTTTTATCAAAAAATTTCTCACAGAGGAATGAGGTTTAACATAGGAATGAGGCTTTACAAAGAAATGTTAAAAATCTGATCAGAAACGGCAACCTCCAGTTATTTAACATGAAATTATATTGAAATTATTTTTATGTGACGGGTCACAATGTCATTTCTTGTCAAAATAATAGGTCATTCTATATCTATTATATTTTGTAACTAAAACCTTTTTTTTTCCTTTTTTTTTAGTGTTTACATTTTCTTGATGCCATTTTCTTTAATGTAGAAGTGAACTTTAACCTATTACTAGCCATACCTGCCCACATTTAGATCCCGGATACCTTTTGTTTAAAATTTTATTGTATCTGATTCTGCAATCCTCGTCCTTAAATTTTATTTCCGCCTCCGAAGTCATTATTTAAAGCTGTAAGAAATGTGAAGTAAATTTGTTTGATTTAAATGATTTGAAGGGAAAACTATGCCTTGCATGGGAAACTCATGATTCAGTTGATTTATATGATTATTAACAAGACTGAACTATATACGACTATACTCTGATTACATCATATTGAAACAATATGCAATCTCCATGTTGCTAGCTTTCAAGATAATTTTCTTGGATAATGGACCTTTTTTTTTTTGCTTAAAGAAGCACTTTTAATCTAAATATTGTTCTCCTCTATTGTTCAGGTTGTCTGGTTCTAAGAAGCCATTCTTTATTAAACCACCAACTTGGTTTTATCAAGAATCTATTTGATTTTACAAACACATATTAGTTTATAAACTCTACTGTTAAAAAATGAATTATTGGTAAAAAAAAATAAATGGATTGTTTCCATTTTAAAGCTGACTTAGCTGAATGTGGGTTTTTTGCTTTCAATTATTTTATTTTCCCCACAAATTTGGTTAGTGAATATGTGTTTATGCTTCTACAACTGATTTTGCCATTTGTGTTTAGTTGTGCTTGAAGATGAAATAATGAGTGTCACTGACCATATCAATCTTCTAAGTTAATTAAGCAAACCATTTTTTTTTTGGTCTAAATTATATTCCTATTCCATACACTTATCACTATCATTGTTTTTTTACATTATAGAAAACAAGATGATTATTTCTATTCCTTCACAATATGTGATACTATTTTATCATTAAAATTTGACCACTGTCATTTAATGTTGTGTTATGATTTTATCTTGTTAGCATTGGTGTTTGGGTTTTATCCCTATTAGTATTTCATTGGGTTTTATCCCTGTTAGTATTTCATTGGGTTTTATCCCTATTAGTATTTCATTAGGTTTTATCCCTGTTAGTATTTCATTGGGTTTTATCCCTGTTAGTATTTCATTGGGTTTTAAACCCTGTTAGTATTTCATTGGGTTTTATCCCTGTTAGTATTTCATTGGGTTTTATCCCTATTAGTATTTCATTGGGTTTTATCCCTATTAGTATTTCATTGGGTTTTATCCCTATTAGTATTTCATTGGGTTTTATCCCTATTAATATTTCATTGGGTTTTATCCCTATTAGTATTTCATTGGGTTTTATCCCTATTAGTATTTCATTGGGTTTTATCCCTATTAGTATTTCATTGGGTTTTATCCCTATTAGTATTTCATTGGGTTTTATCCCTATTTCATTAGATTGTTGAAGTTAGAAAAATTTGTATGAAGAGATAAAATTGCAGCTTTTGGAGTTTAAAAAAAGACACATCCATTTCACTAGATTGAAACAAAATTTAAAGTCATTAACTAGACTGCCTTAAAGTGAAAAAATTGGAAATAACAAAATTCTCTTCAAATTAATTTAACACTTAATGATGCCAGTTAAAACACACAAAAGACATAGACTCAAATTTTAAATAAATTATTTTAAAAAGGAAATGTAATATTAGGATTACATTTGTTTATTCTTTTAAATCCATACATACATAGTGGTGCACAAGGAAAAACATACAATTTTAAAATTCATATTAAATAGCAAATCAAACTGTAGCAAATACAACACAATATAAAATATCCTGGATTTAAAAATTAAACTAGCAAAGTAACAATTTCAATCTTACATAAATGTTTTTTTTAATTGAAAAAACAGAAATATTTGGTCTTTGGGACTAAGTTTTCTTTCTTCCTACTAGATGACCAGAATGGTTTGACCCAGGGTTGTGGTAAGCCATATTAAATGCATAAGATTCCTTAAACTAAGTTAAACAGAGAGTCATATTTTTATATTGTAATGGTAAAGACCTTGCTTCCCTAAATTTGTTTATGCAACCCCCTGTTTTTAAAAAAAAAACAGTACAAGTACAATGACAAAGTCTTGCTGACCAGCTACAATGACAAAGTCTTGCTGACCAGCTACAATGACAAAGTCTTGCTGACCAGCTACAATGACAAAGTCTTGCTGACCAGCTACAATGACAAAGTCTTGCTGACCAGCTACAATAACTAATTCACTGTTAATAAGTTACTGACAGAAGTTTTGATGTTATCAAGTGAAGTAATATTTAAAGGGATATGCAAATGGTGTTGATGCCTTAATAACATATGTGTTATGTCCCCACCCTATTGATCTCATCTTATTTTCCACTAAATTTTCTTTGTTTTTTCAGTTAATATTTACATGAATAAATTAGAGTAAAATCTTCATCTAAAAATTATCTGGTATATTTAAAATTGTTACATAATCCACCTCTAAGACAAGCAAACAAAAATTAAAATACCCTATCATTAAAAAAAAAAACTATGTATACCGGTACACAACTATGCCAGTAAAAGCCACTACAGCTAACACATAGTCTTAAAGATTCATTATTTAAGCAGTAATGTCATTCTGGAATCCAATAACTTCAGCCTTTTCATTATCCTCATGTTCTGATACTAAGAGTAATTTCTGTAGGAATATTGTGACAGAATCTGTAAGCAAAAATATATAAATCATTATTACATTAATATGTGTGCTAATCTAGATGTATTGGGGGGGGGGGGTGTTTAAAATAAAGACAGTTGAGTTCAGGAGTAAAGTGGGCTGTTCTCAGTGGGATCCAGAGCCATCACATCCAGAGCCATCACATCCAGAGCCATCACAAGTGTGCTAATCTAGATGTATTGGGGGGGGGGGTGTTTAAAATAAAGACAGTTGAGTTCAGGAGTAAAGTGGGCTGTTCTCAGTGGGATCCAGAGCCATCACATCCAGAGCCATCACATCCAGAGCCATCACATCCAGAGCCATCACATCCAGAGCCATCGCATGGCTTTTGGAGGCCCTCTGCCACTTTTGATTTTGTGACCTCCCCCAACCCAACATTCAAAGTTGAAAGTTTTTGACATCACAACTTTGGGCCCCTCAAATATCTGTGGCTACCTGCTGGGCCCACGCTATGGCTCTGCCTGCATTCTTGATTGAAACAAGAATAGAATGCAGATCAAAATTACTGTTCTGCCATTGGCCATAATTAGTTACTTAAACTAAATTTAAAAAAAACAACACTTTTTAATACACACACCATATTTTTATTGGCAATTTTTACTTTTTTGGGGTGCTACCTAATGAAACTACATGAGTTATGTCCACCTTTGATAAAGTAAATGGATTCTCTCAGCTTTCAGAACATTTATTAAAAATTTCAGAATTTTTTGTTAAACTTGTAAATTTTATTACTTTCTATTATTCTATTTTTTTCATGTAAAAATTTTTGCTAGCTGAAAATGACATTTTAGGTCACATGATCACTAAACAGAACATGACATGGTATGACCTGAATAAAACTTACCAAGCGCTCCTTGCACCAATTTTGGCTTCTTCCACATGGGTCCTAACAAGTAGGCAGGAATTCCACAGCCTATGATGATGAGTGCCAGGCAGCTCTCTTCATACTTCTGGTAAATAGTTATGAACAATATTGCCCCATTTATGATGCACAACAGAGCTGGTATTATCACTGGGACCTGAGAGTACAGAAAAAAATAAATAATGGGGCAATGAAGTTAATGAATCAGGTAAAAAATATATAAATTTCTTGCTTTAAAGTGGCTTGTGACTTTGTCAAATTTAAATGTGACATTCATGCTGCTTAAATACAATTACACCACATTTTTTTTTTTTAAATTTAAGTATTCCTAAATAATAAATTTTAGAACCATTGATTTTTTTTTTTTTTAAATGCATCGCTTGAATTTCAATTACATCCCTGACATTGATATCCCTATCAATATCTCAATAATTGTCATTCTAGGATTGGCCTAGTGAGCCACTCATCAAAGTGTAGGACTACATAGCTACTCCATCATCTCGCGAAGACATAAGGATGCCATATATCTCAATAATCCCTGTCAAAGCTTTATTAAGAAAATTCATAACCTAGATTACATTCAACCAATGGAAAAACTAAAAGCATAAGAATTTTTTATTTTTTTTAAGGCCTATAAACCCACATAACTGAAAGCTCATTAAATGTTAACAATTAGATCTCCTGTAGAGCCACATGAAAGTAAAAAAAATAATCAAGATTTTTCAAAAATTTACAAGCTTTTTACAAGTTTTTAAGGTATTCTGAGAACAGTCGTAAAGATTTTCTAATGCTACTGTTAAATGGCTCTATGCATTAACAATCTGTAATCTCACTATTATAGGTCTTTTTAAAAGTGGCATTTTCCGCCTCAGCCACACTTGTCCTGCAAACACCATTGTGAGAACCACTGACAGACTGAACCCCATCATTTCAATGAGACAGAAGATGTCTCCCACTGACTGCATGATGATAACCAACACAAACTGAAGACAAAGAATAAACAAAGAATTAGTCAAAGTGTCAAAAGAAGATTTTCATAAATAGTAAATCTTCCCACTACAACCAGGGTCAATAAAACAATAAAATTTAGTACTCCTCAATCTGCCCCAATATGAGCCATGAAACTTGGGGGCTAGTTTCTCCTACCTAAATTCCAAGCTTTAAGGTCAAATATTTGTTAAAAGCTCAAGTCATCTCTAGTGGTTTTCTTTTCTTCAATTATGCTATCCAAGTGGGAAAAATTTGGAAGGCCATTATCATTTATAATAGGTTTTCTTAGGTGTTTTGCACCACTGTCATAGGAAGGGTGGTGGGGAGGGCCATTTTTTCAGACAACTGCAGAGTTTTTTCCTGGTGGATGGACAGCTAAAATCTTGTCCCGCCCTGAGCGGCACTAACACTAGCTAAGACACTGGTTGTGCATGAACCCAACATCACATTTAAATATATATACATTCTACAATGTTGGAGAATGACACTTTCAAATAATTTATGAAACAGACAACAGATTAAAAAATCAAATGGTGCAGAGGTCATGGAAATATTAATATTGGATACAAATACCATACCTTATTTATAGATAAAAAGTCCTGAATGGAACAAATATATTACTTTGATAAATTTCGTTAGCTATAAAAAAAAATATTTTTTAACTGTTAACTTGCCATGGTGATAAGGGAGGGAATAGGTGTGGATGTTTCCACATGTCTCATTGAGATGATACGAGGCAGGTGGTTGTTCTTGGCGGCTACAACAAACAGCCTGAAATGTAGAATAAACACAAAAGTTGCTTGGACCATCAAACAACGTCTCCGGTTGCAGCTTCGATTTTGGTGAGTTAATGATATTTTGATTCTTACCTTGAGACCAACATGACTGCACCATTGATGCCCCCAACGACCGAGATAGCAATAAGGAAAGGTACAACATATGCCAGGCTAACCACCGTCCTCTCTAAGAATGTCTAAATAAAAAGTTGAATGAGAAGAAGATTAGAAATGAAATTATCCATTATTTGTAAAATTATGCAAAAATGTTTTATCCTATACCTTCCATACTTTCATGGACTATGATATTACAAATATGTCTTTTCCGCACAAAAAACATGTTTAAAGTTTACTAACCACCGCAACAGCAGATGATTGCAACATCTCCATTGGTGTAAGAACTGAGAAATAAGCCACATTAACTGTTACGTAGATGACAGTTACCACAGTTATAGAGATCATTATTCCAAGAGGCAGATTTCTAGATGGTGAGACATAAAAAAAAATTTATGAAATAACCAACATGCAAAATAATTGCCAGAATTTAGTGATAATCATGTCATGAGGCATTTTTCTTAGTTAGGGGTAGAGCTTATAATCATTAGATAAGAAATGAGTGGCCCCCCTGAGATGCTGTAGCTTACCGTTTAGGGTTAATGACCTCTCCAGTCACACAGTTAAAATAATTCCTGCAATGACAACAATCTCAGGTCAATATTGAAATTTTTATCCAAAACAAACTATGGGATTTTAAAAATGATAATTTCACTAAATTATATCTTCATTTTAAATGGAAAAATATTTTCTTCTTTCATTGTGAGACCAAAAGTATAATATATAAAATTGCATACATTGAACAGGGGCCTGCAATAGAAAGGCATTTAAAATTATTGCTAAATCCATTTATTCCCCAATTCTGAGGCTAAAATTTTGAGCATCTTACTCTGACTAGCTAAAAATAATAGAAATTCAGAATTTACAATTCCTTAACCCTGAGCAATACACAACAATGAACTCACCATCCACCAAAAGCCCAAAATCCACTATAAAATGCCAGTGTTATGGCCCCTGCACTGTAGTCTGAGTCTTCAAACGAGTTTTGAAAAGATTCAACATTTCCTGAAAGATAATATAAATAACAATTGTGTATGTATATATATTTATATACTCTATTCTTTACCTCTATGGCCAAGCTGTCTGGAAGTGGAAGTTAAAAATAAAAAAACATGAGCTAAAATGTAAATGATCAGTGAATTAAATGTAAACTTAGTAAGCAATAATATAAAAATACTACAGCTCCCCCCCCCCCCCAATATGTTAAAAAAAAAAAAAAAAAAAAAAAAAAAAAAAAAAATTACTTTCATCTCACCTTTCCCCATCCAGATGAAGCCTATAACAATGATGATAACAAGGGCAAATACTTTGCAAACAGTGATGAATTTCTGAAGCTTGGTCACCCAGTTCACATTGTGACTGTTGATGGCCACAATGAGAGCTAACAATAAAATAACACAAAAAGGTACTACAAAATATATTAAAAAGTATAGACTAATATTAATTTTATCAATACTGATAATAAATTTTTAAAATTTTAATTTGAGGTTGCGGTTAAATCTTAAAAAAAAAATTCAAGTTGCTGTTATATAAGACTTAAAATAAAATAATTATGGCAGATATTGCTTAACAAAATTGATAAAGTATAATTCTAATTGCTTAACTACAACTGACAAAAGTTTAATTGCTTACCTACAACTGATGCAGCTATCAATCTGATGACTTCCTGTGGTGGTTCACACTCAGGATAAAAAGGTTTCAATACATATGATGCAAATATGAGGCCTGCCGTAGCTACACACACAGGAAATATAATGATCATATTCATCCACAGGCACATAAAAGCACAGAAGTCACCCCAAGCTTTCTTGACGTAGATGTATTCCCCACCAGACTGGGGAAAACAGGCCCCCAGCTCAGCATAACAAAGAGCGCAGAGTACTGAGAAAACACCAACTATTCCCCACATAGTGAGAGACATTCCTTGAAAAGGGGGGAAAAAATGAAAATAATTTCATCCTTTTCTAAACATTTTAATAAAATATATTGTTCAAATAACAGATTTTACTTACTTACATTTGCATGTTTTAACACAATCCTTTCCTATAGCTCAACATTGTGTAAAACAAAACTTTTTTTACTAAAACTCTATCCTCTGCAGACATAACTACAATACTTCATGTGGTAAATAAAAATTCAATTAAAAAATATTCATGAAACATATTTAATTTAGTGAAATATTTAATTTAGCGAAAAACCGTTCCCCAAAGGAAATTTCGACCCATGGTATCATTAGGTTAGGTGGTGAAAATTTTGCATAAACAATTTCACTTACCAACAGATCCAACATGCTTGATGATCCCAACAGGAGACACAAATATCCCAGCTCCAATTATGATACCAATTATAATACAAATACAATTAAATAATCCTATGTGCTGGACTTCTTTTGGGCTTGTCACATGCAAACTTGAATTCGATTTGGCAAGTTTGCCATTGCCATTCAAAAATTGTTTTGTCATGTTGATAAAAATATATGAATACAGAATAACACTTTATTTACTTAACACACTTATCACATACACATATATTAACTATGAGAATGTCGGGCAGAATAGCAGTTTATCTTTCTTGCCCTTTTTAAAAAAATAATTTTACAAATCTTTGATCAGTATGTATGATAGAAAGTCTCTTGAGACTTCATTTTCATTTTTCTTTTACGACACACTTGAGGATTAAATTCTGCGATTCTTGCGGTATTGCTATTGTCAGTGCTAAAAACTTGAAAGGACCAGCCTTGCCAAATGCTCCAAAAAGATTCCATTTTTATAATTTTTGAAACTAAAATTGTTTAATTCTTGAAAAAAAAGTCTTCTTAATTAGATGTCTGCACTGCTGCTGAAGGACTCTAGAGATTTATGTAGTTGACAGTCTGGAAAAGAAGAAGATAAATATCAATAAACTATATAATGATCACAATAGTCAATAGTGAGATGGGATTATGAATGTCTGATATGCAGCTCCATTAAAACATCTTTAACTTTAAGGTTGTTACACACCGTTAAATTATGTAAGAACTACTTATTTGAGCTTCAACGCTGATCTACTACCAATCATTGATATAATAATGTGAATGTAGTTGACAGATTGATTATAACTCTCTAGAAGTATTTTAAAATAACTTAAAATTAAATGTTAAATTTAAAGTTGCGAAAAAATTTAATGATTATGAATAGTGAGTTAGTGAGTTATGTCATAAATTGGCCTGCTAAATAATTGAATATTGATAGATTATAATTTTTTGGCGAGGCAAAAGAAAATAAGAAACTATCCATTTAAATTTAATCACTCTATTTTGGGTTATTCATATTCCCCTCCACAAAATTTTTGACACCCTATCTCTAACTTATAATAATAATACTAACTAATAGCACATCTACATCTCCATAATAAAGTCATTAATTCTAATAAATAATAAAATCCTCTAAAAGACTTAAGACTTAAGTTGGTAGGTAAAGTTACAGTAATAATAGTAATTTGAGTAATAATATTATTAACTAATAGTAATAGCCTACTAATAGTTACTACTACTAATAAATGAACTAAAAATATGATTAAATTTAAGATGTTATACTAATACTAATACTGTAACTTGAAAGTACCAAATTTAATAGTAATGAGTAGGCCTAATGATAATGACTATAGATATGCCTCATAGTACTCATACTCATCATACATATAAAATTAAAAAGGGATTCTACGCAAATAACAAAATAACCCTTTTGGTGTGACTCGTTAAAAATATTAATATTTATTAAGCTAAAATTACTAGAAACTAAAAAAAGTAAATGAAAATGTCATAAAATTAAAATGTCAGTTACCGGGTGCTACAATAAATTGAAAAAAAACAACTAATAAACATATAGGCCTACCGTAATTTCGTCACATGGGATTCTTGAGATCTCAGAATTTAGTGTAACTTGTACAGAGAGAGATTTAGCACGTATGGGTTATTCTGATTCTGCGTCCTGTTACTTTTCGAGGAAATTGCATTGGGTTGGCAGGCAACGCTATCACGTGGTCGTGGTTGTGGAGGCGTGTGACGTCGAAAAGGTTCCAGGAATGTAGGCGACCAAATCTTAGAAGGCATACTTTTTTTTCTTACTTCCAATCATGAGGCAGATGCGAGGTTTTGAAAAATGTTTTTTAGAACTCTTAGTTTTTACGAGCGTGTTGTAATTGTTCCAAACGCTAATAAATTCATACCATTTGTAGAACTTTAAGTCTACGGCACTTGAGAAAGATGAAAGATTGAGTGTTAGAAAAACGAATCATTCAGTGTAATGTTATTGGGTTTTTTTTCGATTGTTTTGTTTTAGCTTATTTAGGGAAGAGTGTGTGTGTGTGGGGGGGGGGTGGATGTGTGGATAAGGTTTTTCGGTCGCATGTATATTGTTTTTTATTAAGGGAAATCAATGCTTATTTTTATGTCAAGGACCGCCCCAGGCCAAGGGTACAAACTTTAAGTGCTCTTCTGCAGCCAAATTACAAATTTAAATGGCATTAATCATTAGTAGAATAAATAGCATAAGATGTAAAAAAAAAAAAATTTTATTTAACAGCGAGTGAAGGTGAGTTACAAGATGATGAAAAATATATTTTGTAGCAAAGACAGTTTGTTTTTCGGTCTGAATTCTTTCAGCCTCATCCTTTTCCATAAGTTTTAATAAGCAGCGTTTTTAGGCCTCCACCCTCAACTAACTTGTTGACCAACTGGTAACTGTCACTAACTAACTAACACACATATTCTGGTGAAGATCTGAGATTACTCTCTTATCACCCCGGTTAGTAGGCCTACATTGGCTACCAACTCCATCTGCTGAGCTGAGCCATACCAAACCTTTCTCACGTAGGGCTCTACAGCCGCCCTGGCTCCCCCATGACCCACTAGAGTTCTAGTAAGTCGTGGCGTCCCCCAGGACATCTAGTGAGGGACATTAGGTCAACAGGTGCGCTAGTGTCTCCGGGACCAGGCTCAGTGGCGACGCTACACCAGGTCCCGCCGGGTCCCAGGACATGGTAAAAAAACTTGGGACCTGGCAAATGACCTGGTAAATTTTTATTAGTTACTAATATTGTAAATATGCTCATTAAGCGTAAACTACATTACATGTAAGAGAACTTCCATTTTAAATGCCTTTATATGTTTAAATTTTTATCGACAACATAAGTCAATATAACGTCATAAAATGTAATATACGGTATATAAAATTTAAGTTTTTAACTTGTAAGAGGATATCCATATATTACGTACGCAAAAATATCGCGAATTTCGAACCCCATTTATTATTGTTACTTTAACACAATTTGGGATTAGCATGGCCAATTGCATCGCGCAATCATATGATGGAGCAGCGGTTATGAGTGGGGCGGTGAGCGGGTTGCAAGCTAGAATACGTGAAATAAGTGAATGGGCGCTGACCGTTCATTGGTATGCCCATCGTCTCAATCTAGTATTTGTCGACATTTGTAAATCTGTCAGAGAAGCAGGAGATTTTTTCGCAGTATTGCAGCGAATATATAACTTTGCGAGTTCTTCATATGTTCACGAGAAATGGATACAATTGCAACGAAGCGAATACTCTGACCAGAAGCCAACTGAATTGAAAAAAACTGTCCGACACACGCTGGGTATCTCAAATTGTAGCGTGCGAAGCAGTTTGGAATCGTTTTTCTTGTCTGTTACAACTGCTGGACATAATTCCACAGGAAGACAATCGTGACCGTGCCTGCGAGGCCACAGCTTTGACATGTTTGATGGACTTTTATTTTGTTTTTAATTTACTGGTTTTCATACAACTCTTAGCACATATGAAGAATGTGTCTGATCATCTTCAACTAAAGGGACTACACATCAGTCGAGCTTGTGACTTAGTTCAAACACTTATTGAAAGTGTTACAGATATGCGGGTAGAACATCGATGCGATGAATTTGTTCAAAAAGCAGTAGAAATTTGTGAACAGCATGGTTGGATTGTTAAGGAGGAAAGACGTCGAAAAGTCCTTAAACGTATTGCTGAAGCTGTTGTTACAGAACCAATTGGTCTTCTACAAAGTGGTCACACAGCTTTGAGTATTAATATTCGTCCGCGCATATATTATCCTATACTGGACAAAGTACTAATTGGATAATATAGCAAATTGGATGCACGATACCGGTGTCATCTGCAGAAGCAGAAAGATCTTTCAGTCAACTAGCTTTAGTAAAAACACATCTTCGCACAACCATGACTGACGAGCGCTTGTCAAATATTGCTGTAATATCGATACATTCACAGAGGGCCAAGAAACTGGATTTGGAACGTATGGTGGACAAATTCGTGGAAATGTATCCTAACTGCAGAATTATTTTGAAATGAAATTGGCCTGTCCTGTGTCAGTGTATCTGGAGTCAATGGGTCAATAGTGTGGAGTGTCACGAGTGTGGATTCTCTAGATAAACGTGACTGACCTTACAAATATAATACGTTCAAATAAATTTATTATGACAATTGACAATGTATGTAAACTTTGGTTTAAGTTAGTAGATTAATAAATATTACTTAATAAATAAATGTTATTTATAATACGTTTATTTGGGACCCGCCAAATTTTTTTAAGACCTGCAAGGGACCCGCCATGTTAAATTTGATGGCGTCGCCACTGACCAGGCTGCTATGCCGGGTTACTGTCACTAAATCAGTTCATATGTGAACGCCTCTATTTATTCTTTATCTTACGTGCAATCATATTAACTGGGAAAAAATCCTTAGAATATAATCAATAAGTAATTCATTCTTTAATTTAATATATTGAAATAGGGCAAGCTCATACCTACAAACTTCAACAAATCAATTTCATTTATTAGGCCATAACTATAACTTATGGTTATATACGCTCCATTCCATAACTAGACCTGTTTATCCCTGAGTTAGTGTCAGAGTAGTTTTCAACTCCCAGGAAACGTAGTTTCAAGCTCCAAAGACAAAGAATAGTTGGGAGATGGGGGGGGGGGGGGGGGGGGTTGCAATCAAAATGCTAATTGTATATTAAGGAAATCCACTCAACTGCTTAAGTAAGTTAAAACAAATAAAATATAGAAGATATGGCCCTCCGAATGGTAATCTTAAGGATTAGAAAAGGTCTTAAGGTAAGGCAGGCACATGGACAGTTAAGTATTAACAACGCAATGCTCTAAAAGAAAAATATTCTGGTTGGTTCATTGAGATCGAGACCGCAAAGGCCAATCACATAATATTGCTTGCGGTCTTCACACAAAAAAATGCGGTAAACTAAAAATAACCCAATTATTTCTGTTTATTCAAAATAAACGAAACAAACGAAAAAACTCCCAAATCGGTAGTTTGTAAAGTAGTGGCAGTGTGGCAGTGGCGTAGTCTAAGGCTTAAATCGTATGGGTAAACAAGTCTGTATCATTATCATAACTCATGTCATGATAATAACTGCCATAACCAATCCATTACTAGGTCTAACTAAATTTTTAGCTTTTAACTTAAACTTTGCCTGCCTTTAACTTAGTTTAACTAAAGTTTAGTTTAGTTACAATTTGATATTTATATCGCGCTGGTATCCATGCCACTTTAGCATGCTCACTGCGCTCTCTGGTCCTCCGAAATCTATTGAAACAAAAAAGTTTTTAATTGTTTCTTAAATGATTTTTTATCATTTACAAAGATTGAGGCAAACTGTTCCATAATTTTGGCGCTATTGCTTCAAAAGAGCGCACTCCATAAGCATAAGTATAAGACTTTTCTGTGTTCATCCACTCTAGGAACACTCAGTAAGTACTGTGCTGAAGACCATCCACAGGCTCTTCAGAGGTACATGTTTATAAATCAGTTCCTTGAGATATTCCGGTGGTGAGCCATCTCTGCAGCTCTACGCCATGGACAGAATTTTGTAGTTAATGCACTCACTCACAGGAACCCAATGGAGATCTCGTAGAACTGGTTTGATGTGATCAGATTTTTTCTTCCGCGATACAATGCATGCTGCAGTATTTTGTATCTTTTGGAGTCTCTGAATTTGGTTCTGAGGTAAACCCCACAAACAACTATTACAGTAATATAATCTTGAATGGATTAGAGTTACTGCTACAGCATTGGCTGTTCTCCTTTTGAGTTGAGGACACAGCTGACCCATAGCACACAGAAGACAGATTCATGCCTTGACAACAGAACTGATATGGCTGGGGAATTATACCAAGTTTACTGTCATTATAAAAGCCAAGGTCTCTGGCAGTCGAGGACAACAGGATCTCTGACTTTTATTGATGCAATGGCAACTTTCCGAAGATTGGTGTCTGAACCAGAAATAATTGCCTCAGTCTTATCATCATTTAATTTTAGTCTGTTTGATGACATCCAATCTTTCACAGCAAGACAGCAGTCCTCGACAGCCTGAACAGCAGTAGCACGCTCCAAGGGATCAGGGCGGATAAACTTGTATTGTTCTGTGTCATCCGCAAATATTTTGCGGGAAATACCATGACTTTCAATAATTTTGCTGAGCTGGCTATTATACATGGAGAACAGAATAGGTCCTAAAACGGAGCCCTGTGGCACACCACAGGTAACGGAAGTTGCTACTACTAGTAACCGGTAGTAGCATTATAACAATTATTGGCTACTTTTAAAAAACTTATATTAGTAATATTAATATTAGCCAATTTTATTATCTAAATGTATGATTATTAAAATTAATTTCAATTAATAAAGTAAACACTGACTATGTGCTAGAGCATAAGAATAGTTAGACGATTGAGAAGACTCTGTAATAATGATGAGGACGAGTATTTTTGGGAAAGGACAGCTGAAATGTTGGATTTCTTCTGATATGTAGGTTCTATCCTGTGCACATTTTAAACAAAGTGTCTACATGTCAGGCTACCGGATGAATAAGTTCTTGAGATATCTGTCCGGCGACCAAGATCAAGTCACATGACCCCAGTTCCTTAACAAAGTTTTGCGAGATATTTGTCTGTCAGTAACAGTTGTGTCAGCCTTGTGGCGTGACTGCTAATAGTGGATCAGAAAAGAGCGTTGGAGATGCATGTCGCATGTGGTCTACAAGTTTACTTCATTTCAAGGGGGGGGGGG